CTGCTGACTAGGGAAGCTTTTGATAATTTTATATATTCTTTAATCCCTTAGTTTTATTGTTGGAAAGACATGACACTGACCTTTGACTCAGTATGAAATTTGATGAATTAAATTTAGCAGAAATCGTAAGGAAGGTTCCATTTCGGAAAAAGATCTTTTGGCTATGTAAATGCTAACATCACCTACAAAAATATTTACTCTGGTCTATCTGTTCTGGTCCTGAGAAATAAGGATATCCTGAATGATGGGATAGGCAGTCTGGGACAACACTAGAGGAATTTGTATGCAGTAACTTTCAGTGTTCATGCCTGGAGAAAGTGGACTTTAGTCCCAAACCAATTAAACTAAACTCTCATGCTGACCAATGAAGAGTACAAGAAAAACAAGTTTATCCAATCTTAATACATATGAAGTGGAATTGATATAACTCAATACACAGTATTGTTCTGCATCTTAAAATATAGTGGTGGCAGAAAACAGACCACAAATTAAGGTTTCCTTTATATGATATTTCTATAACTGTTCTCAGACCCCAATAATCTAATTAAATGAACCATACATGCTGTGGCCCATATTCTGCTTTTTGCATCTCCACTGCATGGACCATACTCTGTGAAACTACTAGATGTTTTAGAGGGTGGTTAACAGTCAAACTAGTTTTCAGATCTGACTGTTTTGGTTTTATCAAATCATTGTTATTGGAGTGAGTGGTTAAGATGAATTTCACAGTTATTTGAAACAAGAGACAAAGACTAGAAGAACAGAAGAAGCCATCAGATTCCAGATTTGGTACTGTTGCATGATTTTTTTTTTTCTTTTTTTTCAGTGCTGCAGTGAATTTCATTTGATGAGGGCATCAACACTGTAGCTTTCCAGATGTTCTTTTACAGCACAGAGCCATGATGCTGACTTCTTTATTTTAGGATTTCTGGAAAGCACATGCATTGCAGTTGTAAATAACATTTTAAGCAAGATAGTTCAGTGAATTAAATATATGGGCCATATATCTATAAAATGAACAGAGTTTTTCACTGATGTCTCTATGGTTTAAATAAAATTTCATAAAACTTCAGAAAAGTTCACATACACATAATTAACTTGAATGCTGTACTAAGAAAACATAGCTTTCATTCCTTCCAGTAATATCAAATATGTGAAGACTAATCTTCAAGTCAGAAGGAAAAAGAAAACATTTTGATTTTCTGTGTTTTTAGCACTGTCATGTAAAATGTTTTATTTCATATTTAAGCCAAGAATCAGAAATTTCCTTATCTGTTTTCTTTTTTTTATTCTAACTTTTACACTGTTATATTAGCAAATAAATGAAGGTGAAATTTAGATTGTGTCTGTCCCTCAAATAGAGCTCACTTTCTTAATAGAACATAGTTTTAATTATGGGGGTAGGCCCATTGCTTCTGTGCTGTCATGAAATTATTCTGTGTTGATGACTTAGTCCTTTGGAGCAGAAGTCATTTGAAGGTGACTGCTACTGTGCATTCTTGAGTGCAGTGATTTGTGATGCCACCACTGGGCTGTGTTTTACAAACATGTTTGACTCACCATGCACTTCTACAGATTGCTCCTCCAGCTAGCTGGGAACACCAGCAGAGACTTCTGGCCATGCTGAATATGGTTTTTCACAAAGAATTAGTGTGTGTGAGCAAAGGAAAATGCATCTGATACCTATGACAGCTAGTTGAACTGTTTTCCTAGCAGTTGTCTCTGTCTGCAATTTGTCCCTGGCTGACAAACTTTTTCCATTCTCTGTTCCTTGAGTCACTAGGCACAAGTAAAGCCATAAAGATTAGAGGTAACATGGTGTCCATAAGCATGGATTACTGCACTCCTTATGATGAAATACCTTTGAAAAGAAAACTCTCAGTCAAAGTAGTAGACTTTTGAATATATTTTGAGTTTTTCCCAGAAATGTATTTTAACTATTTTTTCTCAAGTATTACTTTAAGTACTTTGAATCAAGGTGCTGTTTGTAACATAAAGATCTCTCAACAAAACAACCACCAACTAACAAAACACCATTCGGTATTTTTTGCTGCTCGCTAATCACATGCAAAGAAAAGTAATGTAAAAAGTTTATCAAGAGCTGTAGAAGATTCACATAATTTATATCTTTGTTTAGTAAAGTTATTCTATGACAGTATTATTTCTGCTAGCATTCAGTAATTAATGAATGATGGCTATTCTGGTTTAGAGTATTTTATTAAAGCTGCCACCAAGTATAAATGAAAACAGAATTATTACCTTTACATTATATGTAAATTGAAAAATTTTAATCAAACCAAAATTGGTTGTTGCCTTTCTATTCCCATTCCTGCTCCTGAGAATTGCTATTACAGTATTATCTTACCTTCTTCTACTCCTAGGTTATTTAAAAGGTTTTCTAGCAGATTTGATTGTTGGCAGATGTTTGACATTCAATTATTCTGGCAGGAGCTAAAATCCTCTGGAGTTTTTAATATATAACTGTAAATATGCATACTAAATTAGACAGAAGTTTATGCCTTTAAAGTGAAATACCCCAAAATTATCTTAGCATTATTTATCAGCTTTCTTATTTGTATTATCAAAAGAGTGATGACTATATTCTCCTAATAATAGATGACTTAAGAAATGAGAAATATATGCAGTTGACATCTGATTATCTGCAGATAAATCTGTTTTGGAGGTAGCTAACAGTTTGGAGCCCAGGCAGGTACTCTGGGAAGAAATGTACTCTGATCCTCAGAGCTTATTATTTGATGTCCATTTTACATTTGGGAGACCAGAAAACTTAATTGATCTTCACCCCAATTGTATCTTCAGGTTTTTTTAGGCTGACTTAATTTATGGGCATGGCCTAATCCATGCTTCTTTATTTATCCCTGGGTTACTTCCCTGTGTCCTGGTTAAACAGGAATTGAATGGCTTTTTGTCAAGATGAATTAAATGTGTATGCATATAAATAAATGATTAACCCACAAAATATGCATTGAAAAGCCTACCTTATTTTAAATCATTTAATATATAATGTTTTACAGCTCTATATACAAAATAGAGTCTCATATTGCTAATACAAACAGCTCTTTGGAAAAAAGTGAACATTTTTATTTACAGGCAACTTAATAAAAGGCAATTTCAATTGCAGTTTCAGCAACAGAGAAGATTAAAATGAATGTTAGGATCTGTATTTTTTAGCTACCTTCTCATATCTGTATTTGGAAAATTGAAGATCTTTTGTAATTAAAGATTATTTTATTTTCTTTTACTGGACTCCCATCTTGAGAGAATATATTCTTCAAGCTAAATGTGATAAAGCACCAATAAAGCAAATTACTTACATTTCTGTCCCAAACTGGAGGCTATTTCTCTCTAGATTTTGTTTATTTTTATTTTAATGAAGCCTATGAATTGTTACTGTTTGATAGATTTCAACTTATTTACAAGAGGAAAGTGTTGGATAAATATATTTTGGAGGAAAAAGGCAAAGCCAATAAAGGTGAGTCTGAAAATGACAAAATATAGTGAATAAATCTTGCATTGATGTTGAATGTTCAATAAATTCTTTACAAGAAAAGAAAAAGATGCCAATGCTCAAAATCAGCCCTTCTGTGAAGAACTTCCTCCTAATATTCAACTCCTGTGGTTTGACACTGGCCCAAGGCCAGGCGCCCACAAGTGTGAGTGCTCACTCACCCTTCCCTGATACAGCGGGGCTCAGGAGAGAGAAAAATGTAATGAAGGGTTCATGAGTTGAGATAAAGACTGGGAGAAAACACTCCAAGGGCAAAACAGGCTCAACTTAGAAGTGAAAAGTGAATTTACTACTATTCAAGGCCAGACTGAATGGGGCCCTGAGAAACCTGGTCTAGTGACAGAGAGGTGATGATCACAAACTACTCTGTCATTCTGTGATTCTATCTTTTCAGAGGCTAGATCATTCTTTCACGTGAAAAACTAGGAAAAGAAAAGTAGATGTGGGATAAGAAGTACTGAATTTTTAGACAATTCTCTTCAGTTTGTCTCTGTGTTGCTCCATTACAATTAAGAGTAAAATACAGTCATCCATGTTTCTACCTCTTCCCCGTTTCCACACCTGTATCTCAAAGATCTGACAAACACTTTACATTTCAGAAATTCAGCTCTACTCTGTAGTCAGGTTGTTTTTTTCAGCATTATGAGGATGATGCATCTTTTGTCCTGTTTGGTAAATATCTCCACCCTGACTTTTTCCCTTCCACCAATAATCCTTTCAGATATCCTGATGCATGTATCTTCAATATAGCAGTGTAAACATAATTCTAGATAAACCATTCGTTTTTAACCAATTATATATGTGTTAGCTGAAAGTACGTTTTAAAAATAGAAGATTTTTTTCGTATTTAAAAATACTCATACATTTAATTAAAAAAAATACATATAAATAAGGATAGTTTAAATAGCCTGGTTAAATATTGTTTATATACAAGCTGGGATTCTGTTGAGTGACTGTGTAGAACTCAAAGGGGAAAGTTTGGCATGATCTTGTCCAAACTGCTTCTCATAATGGTTCCTAGACTGCTTTTTCCCCTCAATAACTACAGCCTAGGAAAGAGCTAGATAGGGTACTCCAAGAAGAAATGACAATTTTGTCATTAAGCTGGATTTTGATCTTCTTCCCCTTTTGCTCTTAAACATGGCTCTATTCCTCAGTGAAAACTGGATGTTTCCCAGAAAACTGTCAAAGCCATTTCTGCTGACTGGCAGACCTTCTCAACAAACTCTTCTTCACCTCTTGTGTTTCAAGCAGGGCTGGTGGATCACAGAATTTTTGTTGTCTGCAGGCTGGTTAGGGACCAAGCTACAGCTATTTAAGCCTAATTAACAGGGCTTAGAGCTAGAAGCTGCACAGCTGTGTACAGATGCAGAGTTAATTATTTCAGTTTCACATAAATGGGGTTATCATGAGACAAGTAGCATGCAATGTAAATATCCCAGCTCATACATCCATGGTGGTCTCTTCACAGACCTGCACTGGAGCCATTGTGAAGACTTAAGGCCCAAAGCAGTTACGCAGTCGAGCATGTGTTTAAGAATGAAGGATGTGGTATCCTTGGGAGTTCTGCATATCATCTGATAGAGGCTTTCAAATCCCTGGCAATGCATAAGGGATGACATCAAACTATGTTAATATACTGTTTGTATAACCAAATATACTTGTGATTGTGATTATTAGCACAATGAAAATGTTGTAGGGAGAAATTACTGGCACTGGTAGACAGCAACCTTTCCAGGTCATTGAACTTAACATTTTAATGTGTGAGACAGAATAGGTCATTATAGGAGATACATGACCAATATAATTCCTGCCCTTTCTTAAAAATATTTATCGTTCAGCACACCAGTGATTGAAATTTCAAAAATTACTGCCTACAGACAAAATATTCTTATTTTCATGTCTCACACTTGCTAAGCAGTAGTAGCTGGTGTTGTCATGTTTTAGTTTTAATTTTAATTTTTAAATTTTAATCTTAATACATTTAATTCAATATAGTTCAATATTTTCTTTTGAGATTTTGCAATGCAGTATTCACAGGTAGTTTGATTAAAGGATATTTTTCAATGTATTTGAAGAGGCTTATGATGTAGCCATTGTTCTTTAGATATCCATTATTCCATTATTCTTTATATATCAACAAAATAACAGACAGTTATCTAGCCTTTGTTAGCATGTTCAGATAGTTCTAGACATTCCTGCAGCGTGAAACACACATGTTCTATTGAAAATAATACAAATTCAGGGAATGGATGATGTTGGCAGGAACCTCTACCGATCACAGAATCACAGAAGCAACAAGGTTGTCAAAGACCATTGAGATAAATAAGTCCAACCTACAGCCCAACACGACCTCGTCAACTACTACATGGCACAGATTGCCATGTCCACTCTTTTCGTAAACACCCCCAGCAATGCTGACTCCACCACCTATGTGGGCAGCCCATGCCAATGCCCAATCAACCCTTCTGTGGAAAAGTTCCTCCTAATATTCAATTCTTGTGGTTTGACACTGGCCCAATGCCAGGTACACACAAAAGTCACTCACTCATGCTCCCCTGATGCAGCTGGGCTCAGGAGAGAGAAAAATGTAATGAAGGGTTCATGCATTGACATAAAGACTGGGACAAAACACTCCAAGGGCAAAACAGGCTCAACTTAGAAGTACAAAGTGAATTTATTACTAACAAAATCAGAGGAGGATAAGGAAAAAATAAGCCCTTAAAAACATTTTTTCTTCCCCCAACCCCTCCTTCCTTCCTTACCATCATGCAGGAAGGCAGGGCATGGGATTTGGTCAGTTCATCACCCGAGGTTTTCTTCTGCTGCCCAGAGGTAGAAGTTGCTCCCCTGTGAGACCGTGGGGTTTCTCCCACAGGAGACAGCTCTCTGTGAACTTTGGACTCCAGTGTGGGTCCAAATCTTATGAGCATCAGTCTCCCAAAACTGCTGCAATGTGACTCCCTCCCACAGGCACACAGTCCTCCCAAAACTGCTGGGGTGTGGGTCACCCTTCCACAGAGTGCCACCCTCCAAGGACAGGCTGCTCCAGCCTGGAAGCAGGGCCCTGTCTCTCCTCCAGGTCTCCCACTGGACCACAGCCTCCTCCAGGCATCCACCTGCTCTGGCATGGACACCTCCCCACGGGCTGTGAGTGGATTTCTGCATCCCCCATGGATCCCCAGGGGCTGCAGGTCACAGCTGCTGCACCATGATCTCACCACAGCCTGCAGGAGAATCTCGGCTCCAGCATCTGGAGCACCTTCTCCCCCTCCTTCTCCACTGGTCTTGGTGTCTCCATGTTGTTTTCCCTCACACGTTCTCACCTCCTCCTCTTCTCTGACTAGACCAAAATACTGTGCAACCCTTTGGTTTGATTTTCTTAAATATATTATCACAGAGGTGTTACCACCATCTCTAACTAGCCGAGGCTTGGCCAGAGGCATGTCCATCTTCAAAGCCATCAGGGATTGGCTCTGTTGGATGTAGTGGAAGCTTCCAGCAGTTTCTTACAGAAGCCAACCTCTGCAGTCCCCCTGCTACCAAAAACCTAGCTGTGCAAAACCAACACACCAACCTAAACCTTCCCTGGCACAGCTTTAAATTGTGTCCTCTTGTCCTATCAGTGGGAAAGACGCCAGCGCCTGCCTGGCTACACACTCCTTTCAGGCAGCTACACAGTATGAAAAGGTCACCCCAAGCCTACTTTTCTCAAGCTAAACACCACCAACAGCCTCAGATGCTCCTCACTGAACCTGCTCTCCAGACCCCTCACCAGCTCCATTGCCCTTCTCTGGACATGCTCAAGTGTCTCAACATCCCTCCTAAACTGAGGGCCCAGAACTGGACACAGCACCTCACCAATGCCGAATACAGGGGGAGAATGACCTCCCTGCTCCTGCTGGCCACACCAGTCCTGATCCAGGCCAGGATACCATTGGCCTTCTTGGTCACCAGGGCACACTGGCTCATGTCCAGATGGCTGTCAATCAGTAAGATTGTCCAGTCTAGCCTCTCTCTTTAATATTACAGCTCCAGCTGTAGCAACATGTTGCTAAGGGCTGTACAAATTCTTTTGGAAAGCCATGCTTGGGTTTTACCTCATAGCAGAGTGGTCTTTTATATGCTTAACTGGAACATGCTTTGCCCATTGCCTCTTCTCCTGCCACAAGGTACCAGTGAGACATGTCTGGGTCCCTCTTGTATCAGATATCTAAACGTGTGGATAAGATTCCTCTGTAACCCTTTCTTCCACAGGTTAAACAGCCTCCCTTTCAACTTTTCCTTGTATGAGCAATGCACAAGACCATTCATTATCTTCACATTCCTTCACTGGACCCTTTCCAGCATATCATCTCTGATGATATGTACTGAACTCTGTGTAATGCCTGAAAAAGTTCTGTTATTTCTCCTAAAATCAAAATTTTAAATCTTGCTGATCAAATGTTAAGCAAAAAATCTTGACTTAGGCTATATGTCTTGCCTCTTTCTCTTTGGAGGTTTTATGGAAATTGTTAATGGTATTTATCCTGATTCTGCTCAGGACAGGGTTAATTTTTGTGGTACCCAGGAGAGCTTAGGGAAATGGAATCTCTTTCAGGAAGAAGTGCTTCCTACTGGTCAAACAAGTGTGATGGATGGAGCAGTGGAGTAATGCTTGTTTGAAGCTGGAGGGTGTGTTTGTGTAATATTGGTCTGGAGTTGCAGCTGTGGGGGAAGTGTGGCAGAGGGAGCCATCCAGTACTGCCTGTTGGTGCAGTTTCCACAGTGACCAACTGAGTTTCTTTTCTTGGACCCTCTGTCCTTAGTTTTGTTGCTGTTACTGTTAGTTTTCTTACGTCATTGCATTTCCTAGTAAACAGCTCTTATCTCAATGCACGGTCATTACAGTTCATGCCTCCAATGATCCTCTCCAGCCTTCTCTTTCAGAGAAGAGAGGGAAGGTGAGAGAGAGTGAATGAACAGCAGTGTGGTTTGGAGAGTTTCAGTGGGAGCACTAAACTGGGGAGTATGATTCCTAAACCATGGCATATTTCTCCATAATTTATTAAAATAAATTAAAATGAAAATTCCTGTCATGAAAAGGGATTACTTCTTTTTCAAGTCCTCTCTATCTGCAAGGACCTTTTGCAGATCTGGTCAATTATTATTTTTAAAATGGTCAGCAGTTCAATATTCATATATTTACTTTTAAGTACTTAGTCTTTACTCATGACTTGTCCTTCTCTTCCAGTTAATAAGTATCTGATTTAAAGGGATCTTCAGCCTCTCAGAGCCATGTGGTATAAAATGTGATTCACTGGAATATAGTATCTTGCCAAAATCCATCTTGAAAGGTAGTATTTTCTGTGTCTGTTTGTACGCTACTTTCACATTTTCTTCCAAATTGTTCAAGTTATTTTCTAGTTCCACAGTTTATCAACTGTGCATTGCTCAGGATTTGTGAAAGTTTATATTCTCATCCTTGGAATGGCAGTTTTAATGTGTACTCAATCACTTTAATGACTACTTGTATATGATACACTGTCAGGGACTCAAACATGTTTATGCACATCTAGATTTTGCCTTGTAAATAATTATACATTAATTAATACCTAATAGTATTTTTAGTTATTACCATAATCTCTAACAACATTTTATTAATTTTTCTAACTTTTTCCAATTATACTGTTCTGCTGAGTCTGAATATGTTTCTTTTATATATTAACAGTTTTATGTTCTTTCTTACTGGAAAACTACATCAATCTTAACAAATGCTGGCTAAATGCTTCCTATGGTAGCCCCTTGAAAATTCTTGAGCCATAAATTAATTTAATTAAGATTTCAGAAGAATTATCTGTATTAACAAAAGTTTTACTGTTCAGTAGCTTTAGTAAAATATTAAGCTAGAATTTTCTGTAGTGTTTTTTCTCTGAATTAACTGGTACAATTCTGAGTATACCCATGAGCAATCCTGGACTTTTACCTTAATTCTTAACTGTAATATCGCTCCAGTTAATAATCTTATGATAATTATATAGTGAAAGAGATTCTGGTTTCCACCCTTTTTATTTTAAACAGTACAGGGCATAGTTTGACTAATTTTAACTATGACTGCCTAACCTAAGCACAGTGGACATTAACCTGACATTCTTAACAGCAGAGGTGTATAAATTTCATAGCTTGTCTGAACACATGACATGATATAATTGCTTATCCTTAATTGGCTTGTATCATAGTGTAGAAACATTAAAAAGAATTGAAGTTCAGTTCATTTTGGACAATTTATAGAAAGAGATTTCAGAATCTGGCATTGATCATTGTGTACAAAAAAACCCCCCAAAACTGAAAATCCCTGATGAATAAAAATCAAAGCAAGCATCTCAGCAGCCAACTGAACAGCAAATAATTTTTCTTTTCAAAAGACTAATGTCCTCTTTCCTGTCTATGAAGACAGCCCTATTCTTAAGAAAGGGTAGATTGGACAAGAAAGTAAGTATTTGTGAGAAGAACTTTATTCAAGCCATGTTGCTTAGATGAATTCTTTTTCCATTTATGCTTCAGCCAAGTCCAATTAGTTTGCTAACATCCTAAATTGCAGAACATTTAACAAAAAGTGAACCATCAAAACTAATCTATATTAAAACAGTGTTAAATGGGTGGGACATGCCTCTTTT